TATAATAGGTTTGGTAACCAGGCTAGTCTGGAGGTCGACTGAGGACACCAGCAAAAAAAGAAACTAACAGTGAATCTACTTCTGTTCTCTTGTAGGTCTCCAAGTAGAAACGTATTTAAAACCTAAAATAACATAACCCATTGTTACTGTCTGTTTTGTTACAAGGAGACAATCACTAAAACAAACAGACACGTTTCTTCGGTACCGCCACTTCTTTTATGTCCCTGAACCCCCGGCCGTCTGTTGGCACGTCACATGTTTCGTCACTGTCTGTTTTTATTACATGTACATTTATAAAGAAACCATTACTAAAACAAACAGACAAGTTTCTACGATACCGCCGCATGTTTTATGTCCCTGAACCGTGTCTGTGAAAGTCCCGACAGTACTGTTGGCATGTGTGATGTTGACCTTGTCCTGAGGGTATGTCTGTACTGTTGACTCTGACACACTCCAACTTCGTCGATCATTTAGGAGGCGCGAAAATGTTTGGGGTGCGTTTGGCAAGGCCAAAGTCTCCAAGATGGCTTCCGACATTTTCGTCTCAGAAGTTAAAGTTAGTCTTGAGAAGAAAATATTTTTCCTTGACTCAAAATTCAATATTGAATAATTGATGAGTTGTCCTCATTAATACATTATCACCTCTTCAATGATCCTTGATGTTAACACCTGATTATCTACGTAAGATTATCTACGTAGATTTTAGGATTAACACTTCTAAAATCCCACTACAAGACACCACACTTGAATGAACCATAAATCTCTTTTTTTTTTCGTTATTCAGTTTTCCCGTAATTTCTCCTAAGTTTAATGTAGAAGAAAGGGGCGATGACCCTTTACACTGAAACTTTACCAACTACTACATGTACGTAACAGGCCGCTCATTAGGTTTGGTTCAACAATACAATGTGAAATTACCATAATTTGAAACGACAGAGCAAAAGCGAAATGTTCACTTGTGTTGTTCATTGTACAACGCAGGTATATAGGGTGAATGACCTACCGGCATGTTCCCTTTGTTGGAACAGGGCACGTTCTACATTGTGTACTGTGGTGTCAAATTCGTAACATGGCGGCCTTGTAACAAAATCTCGGACGAAAAACAACGTGTTTCCTTCCCTTTCACACAGGACGAAAACAAGGGAACGGTCTTTGATTTGTAGAAGTTGTACCATATGTAGCAATGCGTTTTAGAGGATGACAGGAGCTAGCTTCTAAAAGTTGAACACATCGCTACACACATATATGTTTCGTAGCATTTTGATCTACTTTTTTTAAGGGGAATGTGAAAGAGGGAAAGATGTTGTTGACGTAGCATCCTGATATTCCTCTGTTAGAGTTAATCGTTGTGTGGTGAAAGATGATTCAGTGCGCTTCAGAATCAAACAGGAAGCTTGTGGGCAATTGAAGCCAACGTTACAGTCATTAAACGTTGCCCCAACATTGCCAAGTTCCGATGTACGAGGTCAACGACCACAGAAAGCTGTAAAGCAGCCACAGAAAGATCTGCTTGGAGATTAGCTGCAGCCAGATATTGTGCCCAGTCAGAAACCCAAAGATCTGCTTGGAGATTATGTATAGATCTACCCTGTTTAAACCAATGACACCCTAACCGGTACCACCTGCTGAGACCCAAGGCTAACACAGAAGCGGTAATAGTCCTAGGTGATAATTACTTCAGCCTACTATTCCAACAAAGTATTCAGCCTCCAACCCTTTCACACCAATTCTTTTCTTCTAACAATGCATTATTATAACGCATGATTTACAATTTCACACCCCCCTCTATAATCTTGTTTGCTTGTTTCGAAAGTATAATAAATTCATAATAAATTAGTATATTTTGCTGACTGTGATGGAAAGTTGAGTACTAGAGAAATCTTTAACTCTGTTGCAATTTAGGTTAACATTAATTTGCAACTAAAGATTTTCAAATGAACCATTAATAACACACGATTTGATTCAAGGTCAAAACAACTGTTTGTAGAGGCTGAATGTCAAATAACAACGTTGTTTAGAAACCTGAGTAGTTGCACAGTGTACGGTTTTAGAATACTGTAGCCCTAGGGTAGAAAATACGCGGCCATATACGTCCTTGCAACTAGGCAACCGAGTATTTCGAACACTGAGGGTATTAGGGCCGATTCGTTTGATATAAAATGCAAGAAATTGAGGGAATACTAGTAACAGATTGTCTAAGGGGTCTATGTCAACTGAACATAAATTACAGAAGCAAATAAAAAGTTCAGGGATGAAGAAAAAAGTTTTACAAAGTGCCAAGATTGTTAAAAGTACTATAAAAGTACTTTCCGCCAGCTTTGACATCACCCCGGCATCATTTTTGGTTAGTCCCCTACTAAACTACTCAACCAAAGCCTTGGCTTTGTAAACAATGTTTAATCATTGACAGAGCGAGAAAAAAGTACCTACTGCCACAAAGTACAAATCATTTCAACACGTTTGCATGAAAACAATGCTTTGTAAAACCTCGTCAAGTCTTGAATACATGTACTTGCCTTTTTGTTTTTCGGTATTTTCTGATACTGTTTTAGGCCTTGGGACTACCGTAGTAGTAGTAGTCCTTTTATTTTGGGAAGAAGCCTTACCTCGTATGCACTGGTGACTCCAAGGTTGAAGAACACAGGCATGTAGATATGTGCGGCCGCCATACCCATGAGTAGGTAGGAGATCGAGAACATGAAATACATGGTCCCGTACACATAAGTCTCCGCCGGCGTGCCTAACACCGTGATGGCTGACATGAAGGAGGCGAGGAGAGACATGGCCACGGGAAGGATCTGCATCTGCCGATCCGCCAGGAGAAACTGCCGGGTGGTCCTCTGGCCTCCGCCGGCACAGGCATAGTAGATCCCGATCCCCGTGCAGATCGCCAGCATGAGCGCGAAGACGACATAGTCGGGGATGGAGAACAAGGGGATATCACGATCTGCGAATCCTGGGTTCACCATCTTGAAGACGTCTTGGCGTGGTGTGTTCAGCTCCTTGGAGTATTCTTCACTTCCGTGAAGGGGGAGGGGCGACTTAGATCCAGTCCAGGGGACGCGTTCGTAGGTGTTCTCTCAAGCGGAACGACACCGAATCAAACGTTTTCAATGCCGACAAACCGTAAACAAAACAGCTACACAACTTTGCAAGCGTCACAGGCTCTTAGAAAGGATCTCAGCTCACAGACAAGAGTCTAGAAGAACGCACCGGCTCTTGGGAGGACTCGAGGAATAATAAGTTCTTCGTCCTTGGCAGAGATTCAGACCTTTGCGAGTCTGTCGTCGCGTACTGCGGTAGCTGGTCGGACCGACGCGTACACAGAACCGGACACCACACAGCAAACACAGGCGAAAAACTCACGGAGAGAAAAGTTAGGAGAACTCAAACAAACGCTCCGGGGCTGTGGGAAGGGTTCACCTGGAAGTCTGGCGCAGTGAGAGGGTTCAGTTACTGACCCCAGACCGACGCTTGCGTACTGAGGCCAAGGGGTATCGTCTGTCAATTATAATTAGTCGAAAATGGACGGGTCTACCTGTGACATTCAAACGGGGTGGCCGACGACTTTTTTTGTCGCAAACTTGCTGTAAAAACTAACTAGATTTGAGCTTATGTTGTTCTTTTAATTGTTGCTGATTAGGAACTTTTCATCGTCGCCTTTGGTGTTGTTTTATTTGATTTATAAGTAAACAAACAATCAAGGGTGCATGCACATGGAGTACAGCGAAATCCTCGAAAAACATGGTTGGTGGCATTTCATCATTGCATGCATCATAGGTACAAATTGGTTTTACAGTTGCACATTTGTTACCCCCCAGACGCCATGTAAAACGTACCATCCCTGAGCGCCGTGTGACCAACAGCCCGTGTAAAGGGACGACACGCTGCGCTACAGAAGAGGGGAGGTCACAAAGGTTCTTATGAAGTACAAGTAGTCTGAATAGCAGGCTTTCGGGCTGTTTTTCAACGTGTTGTTTTCTCTCAGTGGTAAAGTGTTGACTGATTTCTGCCTAGTTTTGGTGGCTAACACCTGTTCAAGAAATTGTCTATAGAGACCGTGCTGAAAAATATTGCCGTCAAGAAAAATGATAATTATATAATCATAAAAGGCGGTCTTGTGGAGCCTGATATTTTTGACTTTGACTCGTCCTTCCATCGTTACCTTTTATCACCATACCATCACTCAGATGGAAAAGGCGTACTTCACATCATCAAGGATACATTGGCCTTGACCTATGACCCCCGGAAACACGCACGCGTGGCGAGCGAAGTTCTAATGCAATACCAAATCAGACAGGCAGGTGTCGCAAATAAACGTCCTGCAAGTACCAGAACCTTTTTCGAGGCGTGAGGATGGAAGGAACAAGAATTTTGGACACCAGGCTCAAATCCGTAGAAGATCTAAGATCACATGGACTATCCAGAATTGCAATTATCTGAAAACTGGAGCAGATTGATTTGAGATTGGCTTGCAGAAAGGAGGTCAGAGTGCATATGACATCATATACTAGTAGTACACGTGTCATTGTACCGTTTCATGGACATCCAGTGCGCGAATTGGGGCAGATATAAGTACACATTTATAAAGGTGACAAAATGTTTCATTTGGCGTTCAGGGTGTCTGTACCGAATTTACGATTCACGTTTCCCCAGATGTTTACTTTCACTGCTTCCAAATGATTTTTATGTGTAGTCACATCATTTTCACATTTCTTGGCCCGACGTTGTGCCCTTGGGAAAGACACTTTACAGGACTTCCCCACCTGTACGGTGGAGTGAGGCCCACCGAGCCTCTTAGGCTAATCTGTCTAACTGTGTGCCAAAAACACACTACTGATTGGTCCGCCAATGTGTCAACATCAGCACATTTGCCACCGAGAGCTGTTTAATCTGTCCTTAAGGCAACCTACGAGCTAAAGACGAACTTAGCAAACCATACTCACCTCGTAAGCACTCGCAGCACCCAGGTTGAAGAAAACAGGCATGTAGATGTGTGCTGAGATCACTCCCACCAGCGCAAACGACACCCAGAACATCCAAAACATTGTCCCGTACAGGTATATTTCCGCCGGCGCCCCTAACACCGTAATAGCCGATACGAAACTGGCTAACAGAGACATAGCGACGGGGAATATGCCCATCTGTCGGTCCCCTAGTAGGAACTGTTGAACCGTTTTCTGTCCGCCGCCGGCGTAAGCGAAGAAAATCCCGATCCCTGTTGATATGAGAAGAAGTACGGCGAATACGACATAGTCTGCGGCTGAGAAGGCTGGGATATGCCGCGGAGCAAAACCTGGGTTCACCATCTTGAATAATTTTTGAAGAGTGTCTTTACCGTGGTCCTTGAGTCGCAGACACTTGAAGAAACTGATCTATAAACTGACCTGTATCCTGGGGGGCCTCAGAAGACTCCTGCTCGGTTTTAGGGTCTAGCTAGGAGCCTTCAGCCCCCCTTGCGACGTAAGAGTCCATACTTGTGCTGAGTAGAACACACTGTGAAAGCTGATAGACGTAGTATTAGGTATCCTTTTGAAGGAACGGAGGAAAAACGCACAGGTGTGATCGCTGAGAGAAGGTAGCCGGAAAGAATGAGAAAACGCGTGGTCTGATGACTGACTTATTCTACAACTCGTTGAAAACCGGTTAGACGAGTAAGAACATCTGATCAGGCTGCGAGGGGTTGGTGGAGGATGGCCAAGCCGAAACTAGGCCACTCTGGATAGAAACTTCGAAATTTATTTTAATTGTTGTGCAACTCTTTAACTTTACTGTTTGGTTTTCTATCCTTAACTGTTCAACAGACACCCCCCCCTCCCCCAGTATAAGATAGATTTAAAATCCTGGTATCCAAAAGGAATACTCTGAAAGTACAACGAAGGCACAAGGTCGGTGGCATGTCAGGCCTCGAACCCGGTTCAGAGTCGAGCACACGACTCTGTCATAACCTGCTTGAAAATACTACGCTACTTTATCAAGACAACCTACAACAAATGTTTCCACGCCTTTACCTAAATTAGGAAACACTCACCTCGTAAGCGCTCGCAGCACCCAGGTTGAAGAAAACAGGCATGTAGATGTGTGCTGAGATCACTCCCACCAGCGCAAACGACACCCAGAACATCCAAAACATTGTCCCGTACAGGTATATTTCCGCCGGCGCCCCTAACACCGTAATAGCCGATACGAAACTGGCTAACAGAGACATAGCGACGGGAAATATGCCCATTTGTCGGTCCCCTAATAGGAACTGCTGAACCGTTTTCTGTCCGCCGCCGGCGTAAGCGAAGAAAATCCCGATCCCTGTTGATATGAGAAGAAGTACGGCAAAGACGGCATAGTCTGCGGCTGAGAAGGCTGGGATATGCCGCGGAGCGAAACCTGGGTTCACCATCTTGAAGAATTCTTGAAGAGTGTCTTTACAGCGGTCCTTGAGTCGCAGACACTTGAAGGAACTGATCTATGGACTGACCTGTATTCTGGGGGGCCTCAGAAGACTGCTGCTCGGTTTTAGGTTCTAGCTAGGAGTCTTCGGCCCCCCTTGTAATGTGAGAGTCCATACAGTACTTGTGCCCAGTAGAATACCGTGGAAGTCGATAAATGTAGTGCTATAGGTATCCTTCTTGAAGGAACGGAGGAAAAACGCACGGGTTTGATCGCTGAGAGAAGGTAGCCGGAAAGAATGAGAAAACGCGTGGACTGATCGAGACTACTTGTTTTACAAGTGATTGAAACCGGTTAGACGATCGCGAGTTTGATTATCTGATCAGACTACGACGGGTTGGTGGAGGATGGCCAATTAAGCCGACACTAGGCCATTCTTAGAAACTTCGAAATTTGTTTTGTTGTGCAACTCTTTATCAAACCCTTGTGTTTGGTTTTCTATCCTTAACTGTTCCACAGACAAAAACGTGTGCAATTATTTTTTGCGATACGCCGGCCCTAGAATCTGATTGTCTTATTATGCACTCTCTTTGACGATCAAGTCCTGCAAGTTTGTAATTATAAGACAGTAACTGTATGATCCAGGCTAGATACTTTTGATATAATGTTCATATAGTTTCTGATCATCTATGAGCATCTATATTAAAAGACCGTCTGGGAAACGTTTTGTAGGTGGTTATGACCCCTCCCCCCCCCAATATAAGGCCACACCGTCTTAATTTTATGGATGACATCCTCTGAAGACCCCCAAATTAGTGCGCGCGAGCGAATAAAAAAAATCCGGCCAAAAATAAAAATGCTACTAAACCACAGGAATACAAAGCTGGTGCTGTACATTTGCGACAATACATAGCGACGTATACCGGACAAGTCGTGGAGCTTCGGTAGCCTGAGTATTATCCACCATAATTACCTCCGACTCCCTATTGTCGCTAACTACTATGGACTACCCAGGCCTAGAGCCTCAGAGGACCTGATCTTTTTTTTTTGGAGAACAGGCGAAAATCGATGCGCGCGCGGATGTCGATCATCCATAAAGAAGCAAGAGAGCAATAAGCACCCGCGTGAAAATTTATCACACTAGGGTTATTAATTTCATAAGTGACTCAATGACATTCATCAATGTTCATTGGTCTGTCAACGTTTATTTTTAAATTTAAGTGTTTATTGTTTGCCATTTCTTTGATCTGCCGACTTCGTGGCTATAGTGCTTATTCTGCTCTCCGTTCAACAAGTAAACAATTAGTGGACATTGGCCGCACTAAGGGCAAAATAAACAAACGTTCTACCTGTATGTTTTATCATCAAGAGTTAAGGGTCAGTATTGTTTCAGTTGTCATAGCAACTCATCAAGAAATTGTATTCTTTGTATGTTGTCAGTTCTTTAGGATGTACGTAAAAGAACTAATATTATACTGTTTTGATTTTAGTTGTAGTTCACCACGAAAGGTTGTGTTTTCAGGTCTAGGTTTTTATTTTTGTGTGCGTTGAGAAGTTGCGGATGGATCTTTATATTTGATATGTGGGAAGGTGTCGGAAAATCAAAGAAAAAGTTCGATTCCAGGCCTCCTAGTGGTTCCCTAAGGTACTGCAGCAGTATGTCTGTGTTTGTATGAACAGCATTTTACTCGAGAAGTTGTGAACTGCTGTTTGTGATATTTGGTATGTGGGAAGGTGCCGGAGACAAAGGACAAGCTAGATTACAGGCCTCCTAGCGGCTGCCTATGGTACTGAAACACAGATCTCTTGCTTTGGCTTACCGTCTGAAGAACTCACAATGACCCCTCACCTTTGTGAGCCATGCAATAAAGTAGCTGTGTTCATGTCACATGTGTACACTCTCCGTCACACACGCAAACATCACTGTTCACACAACGGGCCACACTGTGTGCGTTTGGCTCCGCCCTTTGGTGACGCTTTGCCGGTACTTATTAAGTGCTTAGTCCACATAATAAGTCCACACACAAGACGGGCAACGGACAAGATGGTCGCAGAAGGTCTAGCTCCGCGGAACTACCCGCTGTTTTCAGCATGGGACTACGTGGTGTTCGCCATCATGTTGTGCATTTCTGCCGGAATCGGCATCTTTTACGCCTTCAAGGGCGGCGGGCAGAAGTCGACCAAAGAGTTTCTGCTCGCCGACCGCTCCATGTCGGTCCCGCCCGTCGCCATGTCTCTCCTGGCGTCCTTCATGTCGGCCATCACGGTTCTAGGGACGCCTGCGGAGGTCTACACGTACGGGACGATGTTCTGGATGTTCTGGATCACCTACATGATCATGGTCATGGTCTCCGCTCACTTCTATCTGCCCGTGTTCTTTGATCTGGGAGTGACCAGTGCGTATGAGGTACAGTAACTCTTAAACCACTCTACTGGGGATGGGCTTGGGTGTAAGGCCTGCGTAATGTCTTTAGAGATATTCCGTTGAGAAAAAAGTCATACAAATCAAGGGTGTATGAGCCAAAAAAGGCACAATAAGCATTAAGCCGATGCGTTTCTTGCTACTTGTGTTGGGGGTACCTCACTCTGTAAAAAGCTGCTGTGACCAGTGCTTATGAAGTACGGCAACTATTAAATCACTTTATATACTAGCCTGGGTGCCGGATACTGTAAATTCATTTTTGTTCGCGGGGAATTAATTTCGCGTTAGGTAAGGAAAGGAGATTTTTGCGGTGTTTTAAGTTCGTTGTTGAAACAATACTTTTTTAAGCATGGTAGTACATTTAAAGTGACTTTAGTCTTGGTTACAAGATTGAAGGCATTGCAACGGCTTATTGTAGGCATAGCAAAGGTCATTGACAAACTAGTACACAAAATTGTGGCAGTATGCCGCTAAAATTGATGCATGTTTTCCACTGTTGTCTTGTCTAATTTCAAATGCAGAAGCACGGCGCGGTTCTTGTTGAGAATAGATAATGAAGAAACTAAGGATCAAATAGCGCGGTTCTTGTTATGAAAACAACAGAGAAGAAGGATATAAGAGCTTGTTTATTAAGACTCTCTTGATATGTAGCTAAATGAGTGGAGCAAGTGCATGTGTAAGTTCATCTGGGTTTACTAGTAGACAAACGTCCGTGCCAGATGTGCATATCTTAAATCACTCTATATACTAGCCTGGGTGCCAGATACTAGTACTTTGTATCCAGTGTGCTTTGAGTCTGGCACCCTCACTCACTCACTCACTCACTCACTCACTCACTCACTCACTCACTCACTCACTCACTCACTCACTCACTCACTCACTCACTCACTCACTCACTCACTCACTCACTCACTCTGAACACTGAACACTCCTTTGGTCAATAGACACTGCCTTGCCACCGTATGATCTGCTTGCATATTATCGGACAGTGTCAATTTCGACGTGTGAGGTTTTAAGCGACCAAGTTTTTTTTTGCAGGAACTATCGCGCATCAGAAAGTCTTTAGTTTTGATGTAGTCTGTCTTAAAACGGATCCACATCAGATAGAAAAAGCGAAAACCTGGTTTAAGGTTCGTTACAATTTACTAATAGGTTTAGTAGATCTTTTATACCCTATTGTTTAAGTCATTGGAATGAACTGGACCTGGAAGTTCGTTCTTTACGATACTCCTTGTTCCGAAAACACCTTATTAGATTAGTACGCCCCCTTTGTCCCCCACATTACAATTGTGGCCCCCGTTACACCTGCGCCCTTCTTGTTAGGCTCCGCATCGGCACCTGTGCTCTCAATCACAGTTTGTTTACCCGAGGACTCTCTACCAGTGCCTCTTGTAGATGCGGGTGTCGTTGCGAATCTGTCATGCACTTCATGCTACATTGTCCATTATACAATAATGAGAGATCGGAACTTTTTGGCAATCTTGCAGATTTACTTGGTCATCTTGTCAACCTTAATAATATGTCAGATAATGCTAAACTGCACTTTATTCTTAGAGGCTCCTCATTGTTACCCTCTATGTACAACTTTAAAACGATGCAACTCACTCAGGTTTTACATTGGAGATACCAAGCGCTTCTAGCTCTGCTTGACTGTTTCTAACAGTCAATTAGATATAGAAGTCCAAATACTTCGTAAGCGTTAATGGGCCTAAATTCTCCTCCTAGCTCTGATTGGCGGATGTTTTTCCGCCAATGAGATATAGGAGGTTACCATGTAATTTTATCTTTCAAATAGCTCTGTTAGCATTTAATTTAATATTTCAATGTCTTGGGGTGGTGGGACTACGGCGCACATGTCAACTTTGTATATTTAAATGTTAATTGTACCTTTTTTGTGTGTGGCGCTGTTAATATAAGTTGTTAACTTGAGTGCAGCGTCACACTGTCCTTGTTATGTCTGTATGTTTTGATGAAAAAAAAAAAAGGTCGGTTTAGTAGAGTGTCTTTTTAGTAGATCAGCCCATCGCTTTGTATCTGACACTGACAAAGTAGAGCTGGCTATAGGTTTGTGTTATCTTAGTTCAGAGCTCAGGAGGTATCTAAAGTACTGTTGTGTAAACACTAATCTCCAAGCAGATCATACAGTGGCAAGACAGTATTCATTGGCCAGAGTAGTGTTGATTAGCCACCAAAGTTTGGACTCAAAACTACCGGCACAAGCGTTTGAAAAATCACTCCAGCAGTCTGGAGATCTGGTCAGATTTAAATGGACTCACGCCAGGACTTGTTAATGGTTAACTAACCTTTCCTGCCTGCCCCATTCAAACCCATCATTTACCACGTCTACGGAGGTATGCACGCAACCCTGGTGTGACTGCTGGTCTGTAGGTCACAACATGCGTACTGTCGTCTCTGGAGCGACAGGTATTCAACCGAGCTGTCAAGTCTGTTTAACAGCCGCAAACGCAAAATTTAAAAGTCATTTCCTGTCAAACAGTCTTAAGAAAGGGCAATGAAAGATATGATACGCTTAAAGTTTGCAGCGTTCAGAGGTTGGAAATTCAGAGCAATTTTAAAAATCTTGACTCAAAGGCATTCATTTAGTAAATTCTGAACCAAATAGCAACGTACTGATGGTTCGACGATACTTGCATGGTACGGTATTCTGAATATTGTTTTGAGTGTTTGGGGTCGAAGGTCCATACGTTCTCGACCTAAAGTTGACCAAATACACTCGTTGACAAGCATTTTTCTGATAAAATTCACTCAGGTACAGATGTAATGTGTGGAAAGCAAACACTACGTACACTGTTCACCAGACATGCCAGAGCATGGCTAGGCTGTATATCTTTTTATTGAAAAAATGTTGCTTCGTAGACAACCTACCTAGACAAGTTAGCCGTTCTGTTGACCAACTGTCTCTGCTCTGTTGACGGACAAATACATAAAATAACCACCAATTTGAAAAGTAATCTAATTGAAATTAATAACCGTCATTTTTCTTTTTCATGTCATCGAAAGTTACAATTATGGTGCCTTTGTAAAAAAATCGTAGACTGGTAGACTCAGTGGCTACTGTAAAACCTTTATTCAGTCTCGGCAAATATTTAACAATATTTTAATTTGGTAGTAGGCTATCTTATCAGGTGTTGTGGCAATACTTGAGGGCCATAGTTGCTCAGTCATGTGTGGAAGAAACATTAATCTACAATCTTTTCAAGTTAGTATATTGTAAGCTCTTCAGACAAGTTCAGAACGTGCGTTACGTCTTGGTCTCAACTTGTTTGAACAAGTGTCTGTTGACTTATAGAAGTATTGCCTGCACCTCCCAAGGCTGTTTACACTGTCCCCAAGTTCATCTTCAAAGTCAAGTACTTTATAAAGGACTAAGAAGAATCATTTGGAATCTGAGATTTTTTCAGGAAAAGATTTCGTGCATTTATGTAATATACAACTTTGAAGTAAAGTTCTACATGTATAATAGGAAAATGGCGAAATCTAATCGTTATGCATGTTACCCTTGATTTCATTTCCACTGCATATATTATTACTAATATTGTACATGTCGTATATTTGGTACTTTCTGGACGATTCATGCCTTATAGACCACATCATCCTCCGTTTCTAATTACTTACTTTTTATGGTTTTATTGACGATTACCCAAGTCACGTCTAAATGTTGATTCGTAATGTTTTGGGGGGCGAAGGTCCATACGTTCTCAACCCGACGTTAACCAAATACAAGCTCGTTCACAAGCATTTTTTAGATAAAATACACTCAGGTACAATTGTATTACAATGTATAGAAAACAAACACTACCTACACTGTTCGTTGATGGTTTTATTGACGATTACCTAATAACCTTTAAAGATTGCTTGAGATCCTTATGTTGTAACAACAGTGTTATCAAGTCCATGAAGCCAGCTGTCAACTTATCAATAAATTACAACTTGCACTGCAATTATAATGTTTTGTGTACAGAAGTTAAAGCCAGAGGGGAATTGACGATAAAAGCCCCCTTTTGTACCCCAACGACACGTTGTTTGAGTGTTGCTGGTGTTAAGTTGAATAAAAACTCTTGGTAAATATTGCATCAGCTGACCTCACGGATGTTTAACTTGTGATAACCTCTGAATGATATTATGTAACACGCCTGTCAGGGGGGTCATAGACCACCATTGGCCCTGACATTCAGTAACAGAAAAGTTAAGTGGGGTTGTAGAACAGTGCTTTATCCAGCATTATGCTCAGACACGGTTCTGGATAGTCCAAGCGCATCTAGTACTATTTTGTACAGTTTGTTCTGGACCAGTAAACAGCGATATGCTCTATATTGTGTTTTTGACTATTGTCGTGCTGGTTCTGGATAGTCCAACTACAAGTGCATCCAGCACTATTTTGTACAGCCTCTGTGCGCGTATCCAAGAACATAGATTTGCCCCTAGGCACGGTTCTGGATAGTCCAAGCGCATCCAGAACCGTGTCTGGGGCAAATCTACGTTATTGGATACGCACACAGAGAGTATACAAAATTCTCAAAATAGTATTTCATCCTAACCCATTTAGGCATAGAAAAACTAGATAAACATTGTTTAGGGTTCTGCGGTAAGGTTATACAGTGACCTGAACTTCAAACATAACCTTACTCTATACACAGTCCTGAAACACAATGAGTTACCAAAGCGTAAACCTAACAGACCACATACTTATTCATTCATACCTTAGGTAGGTGTTTGTTGGCTGGTGTGTACTTGCACTTTGTTCTGTTTTTTTATTTGAAGGTGGGTAAGGATGAAAAAAATATTTGCGCCGCCCGGGAATAGAACCCGGGTCGCAAGAATGGGAATCTTGCATGATACCACTACACCAGCGGCGCTTGTTGACAGACAGTTATCATACACAACGTACATTCATATTCTATAAATACACATTCTTTTGTTCACGAGCCCGGGCAAGTGCTGTGTTAACAATGCTGTCGATAAATGAATTTTCATTATTACTCTAAGCAAAGAAGGTTCCCCTTTTTCTGTTGTTTCCATGAGTATATTGAAGAGTCTTCTTTAAAGAGTAATATTACTTTTTTGATCTTGCATACAGTAAAGTGCATAGACAACAGTACGGATATAGAAATCTACCGGATATGCTTACATCATTTCTCAATAGAATAAACACAGAAACAGGACGGCCTTGGTTTGAAGTGTTATATGTTCACATATGCTATCTTCGAAACACGACTACACGATTGTACTACAAGATGAAAATAAATTAAAAAAAAACTATTAAGACACCATTTGCACAATGTTTATCTTCACATGGCCTAGCTATATACTAACAAACTACCTACTGCTTTGTTCATTAATTTTCTATCTTTTGTTGTTCCTTTTATTAGAATCACCTGTACACAAAAATGTACTTGTTTTTTGTCTCACCTGTTTTTTTTTTTTTTTTTTTTTTACTGTAGTATCTTGAGAGGAGGTTCTCTCCCGGCATCAGACGACTGGGCTCGTTCACCTTCATATGTCAGATGGTAAGTCGTACATTTTTTGACCAGTAAACAACGATACGCTCTGAATTGTGTTTTAACCGTCGCATAAAAGAAATATTTTCCACTTTTACTAGCATATGCATGTAAATTTTCACTCACTTTTCCCTTTATACAGTCCAAAAAAGCAATGAGTTATCTAGGTCTAGACTTAAAGGACCATGCTTGTTCGTTCATAACATAGCAAGGCATTTATTGTCTGGTTTGTTTTTGTTTGGGCTCATTCTTTATCTGAAGGTGGGTAGAGATGAAAAAAAAAAGTATGGGAAAAAAAAAGTGCGCCGCCCGGGAATCGAACCCGGGTCGCAAGAATGGGAATCTTGCATGATACCACTACACCAGCGGCGCTTGTTGATTGACAATTATCAAACGCAACTTAAAAACATGCTGCATGGAATCGTGCGTTGGATGATTGCACTGGCTTGGTAGTAAATTTTTTTATCCCTATGCCTTTCGCTTCTTGCAAGATATTGGGAACATGTGACAAAATTACTTTGTATAATTTGCAACGATATAGCCTGAAGAACTTTATTACACGACAATTGCACAACGTACGATGTATGGCAACAACTATTGATCAAAAAAACAAAAATGGTATAGAATAAAACTTAACATCCTAATTCCTAAAACAACAATGGCTAGTATAATATACAAACTACTGGGGCTAATCATGAGATACTAGTATATAGCACCTTAGCCGCGTGTTTGACTGCACAAAAGTCATTCTTTACGTACATCTTAAAGTATGCGTAAAGATGTCTTTTCTCCGCTCGCGTATATCTTTACGCATGCTTTAAGATATGCTTCAAGATAGGATTTCGTGCAGTGTTTTACAAACGCTTTTACATGTATATAACTCTTGTATGTTGTCTTGCCCCAGGTGATGTACATGGGTATCGTGCTGTACGCCCCTTCCCTGGCCCTGCAGGCGGTAACAGGACTGAACGTGTGGGTGGCTGTAATATCGCTAGGAGTCGTCTGTACCTTCTACACCACCATAGTGAGTTCTCTAGCCTGTCTGTACCTTCTACACCACCATAGTGAGTTCTCTGGCCTGTGTTATAAAATATCTCACTGATGGGCTGGAGTCAGTGTCATAAAATATCTCACTGATGGGCTGGAGTCAGTGTCATAAAATATCTCACTGATGGGCTGGAGTCAGTGTAATAAAATATCTCACTGATGGGCTGGAGTCAGTGTCATAAAATATCTCACTGATGGGCTGGAGTCAGTGTTATGAAATATCTCACTGATGGGCTGGTTGGTCATCTTGTATTCTGTATTTCTCACAACTCAGAAAATGTGCAAGAAAATGAAACGCGTAGTTTTTTGGATGTAATATTTGCACGGTTACCTTGTATTCACACTGTATACTACAAGGTACAAAATGTATATTTATTGGTTTGTCACTCTTTAACAAACTGAATTAAAAACCAATGTACAAACAACTACCCTCCCCCAGGGCGGTATGAAGGCAGTGATGTGGACCGACACGTTCCAGGTGTGTGTGATGTTGGCGGGGTTTCTCGCTGTGATTATCCAGGGAAGCATCAACGAGGGAGGCTTCAGTGAGATCTGGCGGATCGCTGAGAGAGGGCAGAGGGTCGAGTTCTTCAAGTAAGGGGAGATTTTTGTTTTACTGATTCTCAAATATTGCTGTGCTTTTGTATAAGAGATGTACATGGGGTTTAAAGCCTTGGAGTATGTAAAAAAAAAACTTTCAAAAGTAATCTTACAATAGCAATTTAGGTTACATACTCGGCCGTTTACAGATGTATTTTCTGTGTGTATGGATGGCTTTCAGCACCAAGGACAGGCATAGTTGTCAATAGTATTAACATACGTATTTCAGTATTTGTTAAACATACACTGAAGATAGTATTTACTGTCTTCAATGTTTGTCGCAGTTTTGACCCGGACCCCAGAGTACGTCACAGTACGTGGAGCGTGCTGTTTGGTGGACTGTTCACCTGGGTTGCCATATTTGGTGTGAACCAGTCTCAGGTACAGAGGTACCTCAGTGTGGAGAAGAAGTCACGTGCTCAAATGTGAGTCCGCCATTTTGTTTGTTCTTCTTCTGTTGCGATTAAAAAGACAGTTGATAGTTTCTAAAAGTCTAAAAAAGGAAAACATTGTTTGCTCAGTTTCTTCTTCTTCATCCGTTCAAAACACAAAGGTCAATGACTGGGACTAGACGTCTCTCACCATAGTAACTGGTGTTGGGTTACATAATGTTGCAAGTGCCATGCAGAACGTCATACTTTAAGAGGGCCTTCATTGTCACCATAGATATGTATGTGTTTAGTAAGTAAGAATAAAAAACAGACAAAGCAGTAGTTTGTTGAACTGGGCCATAAGAAGGTAAACATAATGCATTTGCTTTGCAAATGTTACCTCTCTAGTTTTTAGTGTGATTTTCTTTCTGATAATTGTACGGTTGACTTCCAGCGCCCTGTACCTGAACGGGTTCGGGCTGGTTGTGATTGTAACGCTGGCCGCCATGTGCGGACTGGTCATGTACGCACGGTACGAGAACTGTGACCCCATCACCGCTGGATTCATCCAAACCTCGGACCAGGTCAGAAAACATGTTACATATCGTTCTACAACATTGTTAAGAAAACAATGCATGTAATTAAAACGCAATTGTAACTGACTAGACGACTTTTTGACCAATCCTTGAGCCATTATCAAGGGTAAGGAGTATGCAAATGACCCACTTACTTCAGAAATTTGATGCTATGACCACGTGAAGAGTAGAAAGAGTAGACTTCGTTTGAACGTTCTCGGTCTTGCAGTTTTTTTCTTTTTGCTTGCTTTCAGATGATGCCGTTTACTGTCATGGAGATCCTCAGCTACTTACCAGGCATTCCAGGCCTTTTCGTGTCCTCTGTCTTCGCCGGCGCTCTCAGGTTAGTTTTCCAGAGACAAACAGTTTAACCACAGATTGGTAGGTTTCACGTGCACTAGCAGTGAACCTCGTGGTTTTACTGTCTTTTCGTTGAATTATCCTGAATGTTCAGCACCAAGGACAGGTATGGATGTCAACAAAATAAACAGATACATTTCCTTATGTGTGAATGGTGTTCAGCATTCATGACGTCTGGTTGTCAATGAAACTTTGAAACTTTATGAAACTTTATTGCATGTTCATTCTCCGGGGGGATAAATGCACAGATGTACAGAGTACAATGCACTAGAATGTACTACAACATTAGTAATATAGAAAGGCTAACATCAGTCTAAGGTATACAATGCTAAAGAAGAAATATATATATAAAGTGGTATATATCTAAGTTCTAATGGCTTCTTCTCTCTTTTTGAAACATTTTGAAATATACTTACATACTTCATTGATGACGTCTATATTTGTACATGATATGATATATTTAAAAGTGTCTTCTTTTGATAATGTCAATACAAAATGTCCTAGTCTTCTCTAGATTAACTGACTATATATGAGTTCTTCCCTCCCTCTTCCCCATTCCCAGTACCATGTCGTCCGGCCTGAACTCCCTGTCTGCTGTCACACTGGAGGATTTCGTCAAACCGTACAAGAAGAACCTGACAGAAGCACAGTACACTGTCATCACCAAGATTCTCGGTAAAGATAATATATAAAACTCTTGTATTTTGCATTGCCTCAAAGACAGAAAATTTGGATGGATGAAGGTAGGGATAGGTGAAAACAAAAGGGATTTGGAAAAAGTTGCGCCGCCGGGGATTCTTGCATGATACCACTACACCAGCGACGCATGATTACGATTATTTATATTCTATAGCTATACCTTTTTTCGGCTAACAGGTTCGAAGCAAGTGTGTGTATCATCACCAAGCCACTTGGTAAAGGTCTATATAGACCCTTGGCATTCTATATTATGATAATATATAACATCACTGTTCATCAGGATATAATTCTACAATTAGACATAGCCCCATGCATTTAACCAAATTTTACACGTGATTCAAAGTTTTACGGCTCATTTTCAACCGGTCTTCTCCTCTTTTTTTCCAGTGGCGATCTTTGGCGGCCTGATGATGCTGATGGCCTGGGTGTCGTCCTATCTTGGATCTGTTCTACAGGTAAGTTCATAATAAACCATATAGCTGCTGTTCAACAGGTATGTGTCAACCATGAGCCATGGTCCCATAGAAAAAAATATCTAAACGCCAAAGAAGGTTAGGCATCCAGGTAGATCATTACGAACATCAAAGTGATCATGACTCAATGAAGCAACTGGATGAATGCATTCTCTGAAGAGGCAGACGTTTCAGGTAGTGTCTGAGAATGAGTCTGAAAAAGTGTTATCTGTACACGCAGGTTACATATACATGTATTTTCATTTTCTAGTTTTGTATGTAAAATGTTGGTGACTGTATGTGTTGTTCTGGTCTGTTCCAGGCTGCGCTGAGTATTTTCGGGATGATCGGAGGTCCTCTTCTCGGTCTCTTCACTCTGGGGATGTTCTTCCCGTGGGCCAACACTATCGTAAGTGGACTTTTGAAACTCTGTATGGACGGCGTTCAGCAACAAGGACAATTATGGGTTTCAATACAATATACAGATGTTTTTGCCTCTATGTGGATGGTGTTTAGCACCAAGGACAGGTATCAATGCCTATAAACAGATGTATTTGCCCGTGTGTGGATGGCGTTCAGTACCAAGGACAGATACGGCTTTCAATACAATAAACAGATGTATTTGCTTGTGTGGAAGGCGTTCAGGACCAAGGACAGGTATTGTTTTCAACACAATAAAGAGATATATTTGCCTGCGTGTTTAGCTAAAATGGCTTCAGCGCAAACTTTCTATGGTCTCAAGATACCAATAAAGATATTCCTTTTTCCATCCTTACCCAGGGTGCGTACTCCGGTATGCTGGTGGGTTTTGTGATGACTTTCTGGGTTGGGATCGGAGCGCAGGTGTGGAAGCCCATCGTGCCCAAACCGCCCGTCTCCATCGCCGGCTGCGAACGTCTGAACGTCACCAACGTCACCACGTCAGCCGTCTCCATGGCAACAGAACTGTTCACCGGCACGACGGAGGCTGTGTCAGATGTCGCCGAAAGGTACAGTAGCTTGCAACAGAATGAAGGTGGAGGTCGTGTGGTGTAACGGCAGAGTGGTGCGCGACTCTGAACCAAGAGGTCCCGGGTTCGAGTCCTGACATGTCGCCGATCTTGTGCCCTTGGGAGAGGCACTTAACACGACTTTCCTCACTTAACTCAGGTGGAAATGTGTATTGCCCTGTCCTGTATTTGTCCTCTGCGTTGGTGGTGGCATAAAATAAGTTGAAAAAAACTTGAGTGCGTCACCATGCTTGGCCAAGAAATGTTGGAATAGAAAAACAGAATGAAGTACAACAGCCGTTTACAACAAAATAAGGAGAACGGAGTGTTTTTCATTAGATGGGTGTATGTGGTGTCAAACAATGTTTGTTGTAGTATGAGTCCCAAAGATATCACACAATGATCTTCTGGTGAAAACGACACCTAGCGGTTCTACAGCGTACTTACTTAGTATTTTTCTTTCCCCAGACCGGCCCTAGCGGAGTTGTATAACATCTCCTATCTGTACTATAGTCTGATAGCAGTACTGTCTGTACTGATAGTCGGACTGATCGTCAGCTTCTTAACAGGTAGGAATTATCCCAATTATCTTATAAAGTAGAAAATCATAATGAAATACGTTGAAATATTAATAGAAAGTGGCACGCCATATTGTCTGTTTTATATAGAAATATATGTGAGGCATATGTGTGTTATTGTTGTTCCAAATCCAAGTTTTCTCTTAATCTGTAATCTTGCAAATTAGTTTTTTTACATTAAATAGTATTCATAGATATTTAGATATGGTACTACACTGGTCTCACATTTGGCACTAGGGTGTTGAAAGATGCATTGGACTAGAGCAAGACCTTAATATATGTACCTCATACGATATGGGGTTATAGGTTCTATGACTCACGTGACCCTGTTCTCGTTCCCAGGCGCCCAGGACCCCGCTAAACTCGACCCCAGGCTGATCTCTCCGTTCTTTGATATCGTCTGTTGCTGCTGTCCGGGAGGCTGTCTCAGGAAGCTGCACTGTGGGGTACAGCACGACGACAAGGTGGGATGTTTAAAGTTAAAACTTTCGATCCAGCACAAAAAAGTTCTCTCTGTGGGGTCGTGTGGCGCAACGGCAGCGTGCGCGACTCAGAATCAAGAGGTCCCGGGTTCGAGTCCTGACATGCCACCGATCTTGTGCCCTTGGGAAAGGCACTTAACACGATTTTCGAATTCCCCGCTAGACTCAAGTGAAAATGAATATTGCCTGTCCAGTGTTCGTTTCTATGTGCGTGACACAACACCAGCAACAGCTGCCTCTGTCCTGCGTGTATTGCATTGTTGTAATTTAAAAAAAAGTTCTCTCACCTAGAGCTTTCCACCAGTCACTCTGTTGTTGCTCAGTAGACTGACCCAGTGAGGCTTGTCACGTGGCTTCTTTGAAGTGTGACGTCTACAGTGGGTCAAAGGTATCTGGTAGACAATGTCGGCGACAAGGTTGGATATTGTATCCATAACCATTTCTATCCAGTTCTTCTGCCTGAATTGGATAGGGTTAGGATCAGGCACGGTTCTGGATAGTCTTAGCGTATCCAAGGGCGTAGATTTGCTCTAGGCATGGTTCTGGATACGCGTGAACTATTCATAAACGTGCATGAGCACGGTTGTGGATAAAGCACGGTGCTGGATATAACACGGGCTAACATTTTCATCTTAATGCATATTAATAGCTTTTCGTCTGCTCTATAAAAGCAAATAGCTCTACAATAGCTTAAGTAGAAATTAATGCGCTTTTACAAACCATAGCAAGGGTGTATTTCATTTTAATAACAGTGTTTTGGTTTTATTTCTTGTTCTTTCTGTAGGACGCGTGGGACCAGAGGGACCGAGAGAAGGCTGCAGAAGCAGAGCGGGACGATAAAGACCGTTTGGAACTCGCCGAACAACAACAAAATGGCGGCATAGAAAATGGCGGTATAGAAAATGGCGGCATGAAACTTCAAAACGAAGTCAAAGTCAGTTATTCAGTCAACGACGACGATGCTCTAACAGTTCTGTAGACACGGGACCACGTGTACGTCCAAACGGAGCGTTAAACGGATTCAACATCACATTTTTGTTTGTTTATATGTGGTACTGAGTGCATAAAATCAGCATTGTCATTACTTTGTAAAAATGGTTACATGTATTTTGAATCGCAAATACTGTTGAATCATCTTGAAAAATTCCCTATACAAAAATATCGTTTTGTGAAAATGATATTACCTAGAAATGGCGAAAAGATGTAATATTAATGCATCATTGATTAAATATCATATGCAAAAAATAAGAAGGAAGCAATCACCAGCTATCAACGTACCTACACTGGTCTGTTATGTTACATATGTTAGATAGAAAACATAAGATTGTCACATGTTTGTCTGTTATGTCACATATGTTAGATAGAAAACATAAGATTGCTGTATATTGTATAACAATTTGCTGATATCGCTAATTTCACGGCAATTGAAACAATGTGAGCATGTTCAGCATAAGAGCACTTAATATGTGTTTACAACTGACTCAGCGCATGTCTGGGAAAAACATGTATAAAATTGCACAACATTTACATACACTGGCGTACATATACAGTAAACTTTGTTACTGGGTTAAGGTTATTTTTATAGTCTGTAGATACACAAATGTTTAGATTTTCACATAGAATACTGTACACTGTTCGTCATTGTTTATGCTTTCCAGACCCAGATATAAATAATATATCAGGGTATAAATGTTATGTCTAGGCTACCATGCTTCACGTTGACACATTTATGGTATATATCTATAGAACTCTATCCTAGTGATGATATTATTTTTTGCCTTTTATTCTTTACTTGTGTATTCAGGTTATAGAACAGTAAGTACGAAATATTTAGCAGTTACCCCGAAGGCTCTTTGATAGACTTTTTTCTGTTTAATTTCGTACTTAATGATCAACAAAGGGAGACATACGCCACCTAGTGGAAGCTTTTACAATTACATTGTATAATCACCCTTGAATAGTGCATTTCTTAGAAACCATGGTCATAAGGAAATACTTGTTCTTGTCCTCTTGAAAGGGCAGACGGCAAAGGGCATTAAAGGTTAATGTTGAACAATATTTCAAAAGTTTTTGACTGCTTATGTGTTTGACAGCAGAATGGAATTAGATGGTTTGAAACATCAGAAGTCATACCTGTCCTTGGTGCTGAACGCCATCCACACGTAGGGAAATACATCTGTTTATTGTATTAGCAGTAAAACCTGTTCTTGGTGCTGAACGCCATCCACATACGAACGATCTGTTTATTGTATTGGCAGCCACGTCTGTCCTTGGTGCTGAATGCCATCCACACGTAGGGAAATACATCTGTTTATTGTATTGGCAGATATACCTGTCCTTGGTGCTAAACGCCATCCACACATAGGCAAAGGCATCTAATTATTGTATTGACAGTCATACCTGTCCTTGGTACTGAACACCATCCACATATAGATAAATACATCTATTGTAGTAACACTCATACCTGTCCTTGGTGCTGAACGCCATCCACACGTAAGCAAATGCATCTGTTTATTGTATTGGCAATCATACCTGTCCTTGGTGCTGAACGCCATCCACAAGGGTGAATATACCAATTCATAGTAAGTAACACGGATTCTTTACGTGAACTTGGAATGGAGATCACGTGAACTTGGAGTTGAGATCACGTGAACTTCTCATTCGATCCCAGTGAGTAACATGGCGCCCTAACACGTGAACATGACGTCAAGACCACGTGTACCACTAGTTCATATTAACATAAATTAACATTGAGAAACTCCTATATAAGCGGGTAAGTAGGTATAACATTTTTGTCTCACGACATTGTCAGAGACTTTACATGTATCTCTTTTGTTAATGCTTAAATTTTCTTTAACTTCTGAAACTACTGCTACTATTTCTCAACTTGCAACGTACTTTGGTTGTGGTAATTTTATGTATTACGTTTACCTTGCATTTCGTCGTCAACATGGGACAGTTTGAGGATCTCGAGTTGGCCAACAAGATATTTTACCCTTTGCTTTTGATCTTCGGCTTGCCTGGTAAGTTATGATTTCATATCTCATATCTCATACTGTTTTACATAGATCGTGTTGTTTTACGTTTAGTTTAAGCTGTGACGCGTTGTTGTTTTCGTTGCATTTTGTACAAATCAACTCTAGTTTCAGCGTAATCTTTGAAAGAAATGGTTAGAATCTCATCTTCCTTAGGACTGTCTCACTGAGCAGAAATATGTTGATTCTTTCATTTCACACTAAACTGCCCAAATTGTAAGCATAAAGAGCTTGCAATACGTCGGTCACAACATATATGGTTAGCAATTGACACGTTAGAAATGTACATAGAGGCTATATTCAACAATAGTACTAATAGCATGGTGTATATATATCAAACTAGTTTCTCGCCATAAGCCAAAGCACGGGACAGAACAATATTAAAACAAAATAAGCCTTAACGCTAGAAATATCGCCGATAATTGTGAATTTAAGGCATGCACGTCCCATACTAACAGTAATCTGTAACTTAAATTAGTCTTATAGTTTGATGTTGTTATATAGCAGTAGATACCGTATGTTATTACCTTGTACAATTGTTTTCACAATATAAAGTCTCTCTATATAAAGTCAGTGTAATGTTTGCCATTAGCTTGAACTATGTAATAAACTTACATCTGGTCTAATATGATTTCTACACAATGTACCGGCGTGGGATGGTGTATAAACACGTGAGGTGGTCTACACGTGTTTGGGACTTTCATCATATGTTACACACCGTTATTTGCTATGCACTTGATGAGGTTGCCTTTATGAATTCATTCATATATCTCTGATTGCGTTCGTGCACTTCCTGTACTCAACCTTTAACTTTGTGACTCACTACTGAAAAGGCTTAGTCACCGTCTTACGTACATGTAGTCCAGTGGTTTGTGGCCCTTGACCAAGGGGTTGGGGTTTGAATCCCGGCTTGAATTATTAATTAATTAATTCATTCATATATCCCTGATTGCGTTCGTACGCTTCCTGTACTCGACTTTTAGCTTGTGACTGACTACTGAAAAGTCTTAGTCACGGCCTTGTGTAGTCCAGTGATTAGTGGCCCTGGACCAAGAGGTTCAGGGTTCGAAACCCAGCTATTATTGCTCACCCAACATTAACGCTACTGTAAAGGCTCACAGTCCTTAGGTTGGGACCTTAAGCCGTGGTCCACTGTCATTCGTGCTTGTCGAAAGAGCTAGGGGAATTTCCCTGGTACAATGAACTGTAAATACTGTACATAGCGGCTGTCTTCTCTGTCACGACCAGTGGAAGAGTAGCTCTTCAGTGAGGTTAAGCTGGTTGGTTCGAGACCCATTTCAGTAAGCAACCAATATTTCACGGACCACTATCAAAACACCGGATGGTGCCACCCACACAAAGTCTTCAAGTCAACAGTATGTTTACTGAACTTGCCAATCTTTATTGAGGAAATCGCAAACTCACGAACATCAAGGAAAAGTTATCTGAAACCAGCCGGGAGAGAAATAAATGTCCCCCTCAGTATATCATTTAACAATTCCAAGGACATCATGAGACAGGGTTTAATACAATTTCAAGAGCGTATTTGCACTCCACTTGCTGTATATAATAAAGACGAAACACGTGTACATGTATCAGCACCAAGGGCAGGTAGGAACACGTGAGACGAACAAGACATTTTAACCCTATGGAAAATATACTAATATACTAATGAAACACTTACCGTAGTCAACGATATGTGAAGTATATACGACGATTTTCACATATCTGCACCCAATAGGATATAACCTTACAACACCAGTAGATGATACGGACGGGGATGTTTTCTTTCCCCAACCCTTGTCATTTTGAGCCTTCTCTGAATGAAAACCATAACTGCTTTTTCGTAGAATTTCCCCAGACTAGCATAGCCCTTAAACAATTAAATCACCTGTATTTGTTAACATAATCTTCATCACGTACAACTGTCTTAAGAAGAGAAAAGCAGTTGAACCTGTACACCTAGCCATTGTACATATAGTAAGACACCACACTCCTATAACTCGTAGCACTTGTAGTTCGTAGCATTGTAGCACTCTATATAATTGTAGCTCGAAGTGTTCTGTATCATGACCTGTACTAGGCTTGTAAGTGCATAAACGTTAACGTACAATAAAGGTATCTCCTTCATTGTAAAAGTTAACTAACCTATGAATTTCCCCATTTCTTCCGTCCCCAGCCAATATCCTGACTATCGTGGTGCTGGTCCGCCAGCGCAGGACGCCGGGCGGGGCCAAGTCCACCTCCACCCTGTACCTGATCGCTCTGGCCGTGGCAGACTCACTCGTACTCATCTTCATCGTCCTTATAGAGAGGGTGAGTGGTACTCTCTTTTTGCTATCTATGGCAATAAAAATTTGCTGCCCTCAAGGGGAGTCGAAGAGATTGAGAGAGGGGATGAGAGAGAGAGAGAGAGAGAGAGAGACAGACAGACAGAGACAGAGAGAGAGAGAGAGAGAGAGAGAGAGAGAGAGAGACAGACAGAGAGAGAAAGAGACAGAAAAAGAGAGAGAGTAAGAGTGAGAGAGAGAGAGACAGAGCATTCTGAATACTGTAAGAGGGCAGGACTCTTAGCAGGTAGGGTCTACGAATATGTACTTATATCAGGAAAGTAATACAAATGAGGTATTTTGGTCCAGTCTTTGTAGACGTGTTTATAAGTTGAGAGATATTGTAGTCCATATCCTGCCATTTCTTTTTCTATTCAGGTGGTGAAGATCACCATCCTTGATCGGCAGGTGTCGTTTGGCGGATTCTGTCCGTGGCTGATCTCTCTGGACTACACCGCTAGTAACGCCTCGACATGGATCATCATAGCTTACACAGTGGAGAGGTATGGGGAGACAACACACAGTATAGAACACGATAACAGAACTAGTGTGGCATACAGTCTATCGTTGATTGTGAGGGTTCTCTTTAGGGTTGTACGTGTTATCTACCGCTCGGCTGACTAGTTAAGTACTTTAGTACTCTGTAATAAAATTCCTACCGAGTGCCTAGTTCAACTGAGCTTTAGAGAGCTCTTAAGACTCGTAATCATTCTGTTTATACTGTTTCTTTTTGTGTTTTACTGGCAACGTCACTAAGACCATGGCAATAGAATATTTCAAGCAACAATAGGGTGGGTGTATGAGTCATTATCAAGTAAATACCATAAAGGAACTAAAAGTGAACTTGTAACTCTATAATATGTAGTATTTATATTAAGACTAGAGTGACCAAATAGAATGACACTGGCCTGGTGTATCATATATTATCATATAACTATCGTATATTTTGTTTTTCTTCGTTTAGGTTTACTGGCGTGTTTTGCCCAGTCTGGAAGCACAAGGTGTGTCAACCTGTGACGGCGAAACTCATCATCGCTGGAGTGTTCTGCTTCTCCTGGCTCTGTTCTCTTCCACACTCTTTCGCAGAACAAGCTCGCTCCGTCCCAAAGTCAACCAAGTATATGTGCGATTGGAAAGACGACATTTCAAGGGAGTACAAGCTAGCCCTGGTCTGGGGACAGAGTCTCTTGTCTTACGTTCTTCCTTACATACTGATTATTTCTTTAAACGGACTTCTTGTTTGTAGGTTAAGAAGATGGAAAAACGATAGAGAGATTAGAGCAAAAATCTCGGCAGATATCATAACAGGATACCGTTACAATAGAGAGAGCGATGGTTTACCTCGCATAACAATTTGTGCTGATACTCATCGCGAAGAAATGGCTTCTGTAACCTCTGAGAGGCCCAGACGTCTACAGCCTAGATTTGAGGTGGATAACTTTATTGAGAGAAAGTCTTCGCTGTACTCTCGCGTGGTCTCGCGAGACTCCCAGCAACCATCTGTGCACGACACCTGCGCCGACAGAAACTCTCGGTCGTACTCTCGCGCGATCTCACGAGACTCCCAGCAACCATCTGTGCACTTCGACTGCGGCGACAACTGCGCTGACAGAAACTCTCGTTTGTACTCTCGCGTGAACTCACGAGAGTCCCAGCAGCCATCTGTGCAGTTAGTCCGCGCAGACTCAGTAGTGACGAGACGCCGGAAGAACAGGCCCGTTTACGTGCTCTGCGGTGTTAGCCTGGCTTTTGTCCTCCTTTGGCTGCCTCGTTTTGTCTCATTTCTCATCCTAAGACTGTCCCCAGACTCCCAACTACTAGAGGACTTTTCACTCACGCTAGCCATGGACGTTTCGAACATGCTGGCCCTCCTAAACTCGACTATCAACATATTTCTGTACAGCTTTGTTGACGAGAAATTCCGGGCGGATCTTTGGAAACTGTTGAAGGGTCACAGCAACAGGAAGATTTCAAACGACGTGACTCTGCCCCATCCCTCACAGGATGCGCTAGGTATCACGGCCACGCATTTCGTAAATAACACCGTTCGTAGACCTTCATTTGCGAGGCCAAGTCACGATCCGTTGAAGATCACGACGAAGCGCCTTCCGATCACCCAACGGGCGATGTGACTCTTTCGTGATTTCTTCATTAGGTTTCAGATTTTTAGTACGTAGTTAAAAGCAAAGATCCACATTATTAAAGGTAAATTTATCTTAATTATGTGAATGAATGAATGGAAGTTTATTATTGTGTCAAAGAAGATGATCATTGTACTTCAAAGTCATTGTGTAACAGCATGTCCAATAAACAATGCAGTACAACTTTTATTTTGATATACAACAGTTTATTATCGCTTAATTTAATGTCCTCTTTAGTCACAAGGGAATAGTGGATAAGGATACACACACGTGTTTACCCAACATTCCACTGCATTAAACAATGACTGGTATAAATAATATGATATTACACTTTGTGGACATCAATTGAATATCATGCAATAAAGACTTCATCACGCCCTTTCATTAAATATGAACTTTGAGTGCTTCAAATCTCTTGGTAACTTCAACGTGTATACTATATGTAAATATATAACTCATGTAAATCAATTTTTATATATTGCATCTGTTACTATCTTTTATTTCTACTCTGTTGTTGCTCTGTCTTGGCGTGGCTCTTGCTAGTGTTCGATTGGGTAATATTTTTCCCACATGAAAGAATCCTAAAAACTCTGCTGCGAAATTTACAATCCACAAATGAATACAGAAACATATTAATAGAGGAGTTCAATACTCCTAGCATGGTGGAAATTTCAGAAGCCAACTTGTGAGAGAAAGTATCGAACCTGTTCTGGTCGTTGACTCGAAGGATTAGAAAGATTACGAAGCGAGGAAACCACAGAAGGACAAACATTGCGCTGACGGTGATTAGAATAAGGATAGGCCTGCCGCTAGATCGTGTAACGCCTTGCGGCGTTGCATTTTCAGACAGGAATGATCTTGAACGTCGTCTACAGAATCGTTGAAACTGCGATGGCGAATTAGGTGCCAGATTCCCGTCTGTCTTTTCGTTTGTAATAGCCTCCTTGCGGTTTGTTTGGGAACTACAGGGTTGGTTATGTATTTCATCTTGAAGTCCTGGTCTTGACTGAGAAAGTAAGATTTCACTGTGACTTTTAGGTGTCAGATTTTTGTCTGTCTTGACGTTTGAAATAGCCTCCTTGCGGTTTGTTTCGGAACTACACGGTTGGCTATGTATTTGGTCTTGAAGTCCTGGTTCTGACTGAGAAAGTATGATTTCACTGTGACTTCTCTCGGCAATGGTCGGAAGATCCTGCCAGTCTGGCGAGTACGCGCGAAAACGAGGCTGTCCCTGATCACGCGTAGCCACGCGAGACTGGCGACGAGACTTGCCGCCATTACCAGTTCTTGTCCTCTCCGGTAAGTTCTCTTTTCCCAATGGTTTCAATGATTTTCTGAAGTGCTTTCTCTCTAACTTTGGGTTAACGTTAAACTGTGATCTTTCTACCGTTCTTGCTCTTGCCGAAAGACTGCTAGCCATGCCTGATGTACCTGGAAACGTCCAAGCTCGTTGAGGACCCACCCTTCTCATTCTCCTTAGTTTACAAACAATCAAACCATTCAATATGGTGATAAAAAGGAACGGAAGCATATACGATAAGACACTCTGCCCCCAGATGACGCCTAGTCTCAGTTCTACGGACAGATTTTCTTTCAGATCGCAGCGATAAGTAGTCAGGTTTCCGTAGAGCACTTGTTTTGTTGTTGAGCTCACAGTGAAGAAATGGGGCAGGGCGAGGAGATATGACATCAGGAACACTCCGGAAATGGCGATCTTTGCTGTGGTCGGGTTGGAAACTTTGTACTTCCATACGGGAAAATAGACTCCGATGAATCTGGAAAACATGACAAATACCTCATGTAATTAGAATCATATCTTAATACCATTTACGTTCATCTTAGAATTGTGCATACTAAAACAACATGCTATTTTAAACTGGTGGAAAATGATGGCTGCACAACCACAAAAGGCCATGGCACCAGTGGATCGCCTGAGCAGTCTTGTTCTGAGAGACGTTGTTTCGAAACTTACACTCTAGAAATGTCCAAATGTTGATATACGTCCAAGAAAATATCATGCTGTTAACATATCGGAGTTTCCGTAGTGTAGTGGTTATCACGTGCGCTTCACACGCGCAAGGTCCCCGGTTCGATCCCGGGCGGAAACACTTTTTTTCGCTACTCAACGCATCCTAAAAGTACACTCTCTCATAGTCTCAAACATTCAACTTCTTCGTACCCAGAACGTGTAAGGCACTACTTTTATATATCTTTTTCTTCAGTTTACGTCTCTAGACGAAGCCAAGCAAAGATTTCTCTAAATGAACAATTTTGATTGGAGCCACTAGAAGCTGGCTAATAATACGGAGGACGATAGAGCATGTTTTATTATTTACCTTTCGATGGTGTAGGCTACAATGATCCAGATGGACGCGTTGTGTGCGCCGTAGTCTAACACGTTCAGGTACGGACAGAACTCACCGGGCGGAACCACGGAGAAGATCATCTGGGGGATAGAAAAATGTAGAAAAAAATGATTAACTGTAAGCATAGATATGATGACGAAAAATCCACACAGGCTAGTTTCGTCAATAACGATTTACCCCCACGTAACTTTGATGATACGTTTCATGGTTAGTTGTTTGGTTGTTGTGTATAATTTTTCAACATCCTTTCGGAACAACTTAACCCACAAATTAGTAGTCGTGTTACTTCTATGCAAAAGCCATACTCCAGTCCATAACTGTAAGTTAGCACTACATACACGAAATGCTGAATGACTTTAGTAAATGAGACTCAAATATTTGGATATAATGAAGTCACAGTTAGGCAGAAGGTAACTGGAACCCAATCTTCACTACAGCATTACGATGAATGTAAAGTAACTTAAATGAGTCACAAAGTGGAATTCAAGAGTGCTTAAAGAACGGGTTTCGTACAGAGTTTAAACGATAAAATCAGGGCCCATACCTGATAGATGATGACGATGGTGATGAGGACGAGAGAGTCAGCGATGGCCAGCGCGATGAGGTACAGACTGGAGGCGCGTCTGTCCTCACAGCTGCGCGCGCACCGCTGCAGCAGGATGTACAGCGTCAGGACGTTAGCTGGAACACACACAGGTGTGAAAATGGAGTTTTGTTTGTTTCGCATAACCGATAAACATAGGCATAACAAACCAGTTTTGTACATGAAATTACCAGCTGCATATGGCCGGGCTGTGAGGTTTGAACCACTCACACCGGGAAGGACCCCTACTCTTTTCGATACGTGTGGTGGGTTCTTTAACGTGTGTGGGGTGTGACTATCTTCAACAATAGGACCATTTGACGTCCTATCCGAGGGACGTCTCCAACCGAAGCTAGGTACTCATTTACACCTGAGTGAAGTGAGGAAAGTCGTGTTAAATGCCTTTCCCAAGGGCACACGATCAGTGGCATCGAGCAGGATTCGAAACCGGGACCTCTTGGTTCTGAACCGAACACTCTACCGTTACGCCACACGACCCCTTACTGAGGAATATTTGGCACAACATCGTAGCCTGCATTCCTTTAATTTTTCTAAAGGGGTTTAGTACAAGAGCTTACACGGGAGCTCGAGATTTTCAAATCTTTGTAGAACAACGGAAGAGCAACTGGGGTAGATTCAACACAGCAAGAGAATATAGTTGTGTTAGATTATCTGACAATCTCACCAGTTTGAATCACTCACTCGTGATGATAGAAAACGCCCAAGTGAGACCAAAAAAGGCAAAGATTTGATACAAAACTAATATAACATTTTCATACCAAAAATGGGCCAGATTTATTAGGCCGCACAAACGTAAAAGCATAAGTAAGATTGATTAAACAAACAATGATAACAACTATGTAAACAACAAATAAAGGAAGTTATCTGCCAATGAGAACATGAAGTAAATGACATTGACACGTAATTAATCTACTGGGACACAGAAAAATGTGTCCTATTGCATCACTTACACAACCTAGCTATTGCATCATCTTATTGTAGTGGAGCAAATAGTAAGGTAAAGGCAATTATTGCTTGCATGAAACAGTTCGTATTCGTAATTCTTGATTAACCATGTGATTTGCAATTTGTATTTCCATACTATACAATGTTCTTGTCGGTGATTAGCATATAATCAGTATGATTTCTGAATTTGTAGGTATGTTATCATCTATTGTTGAAACTGTAACAATGATGCATTGTAATGTAAGAAGACCCCTGACCATCCTCCTTCAACTATTGAAAAGCAATCAAGGCCCGAGATTGTTCGTTGTACGCTTTCAAGGTTATATAAAGATTGAAAAAAATTACACGTTTTTCGTTTACAAACACCTTCCTGGGGGAGAAATCTGGAGAGTTGTACTCAAATTGTGACGCTAGGGTCACATTTGAAACATGGCCGTTTTTTCGTTGCTGTGTACAGAAGAAGGGAATATATAAGGTTCTGACCATATTTGTTTGAACACCCCTTCACAGAGATGATACGATACCCGTGTTATTGTAGTATGGGGGCAGATGGCACTTGAAAAAAAATTACAGTTGCACAACCCTGCTTTCTTATCATTAGTGGATTGCAATTAGTCACCAGAATGCTCGTATTATACAGTGAGCTCTTAACTTAAATGAGAACGTTTTCAACTGATGACAGATTTCTTTGAATCACCGATGCATTTAAAGCCAAAAACCAAGAACTTTTCTCTAGTAAAATTAGAAGTATTGTATTTTTGTTCAATATTTTTCACAATGTGCGATCGCTAAGTTAAGTTGACTTTGTGACAACTCTCTTCAGTACCGTCAGTACCGTAGGCACTATCCTTTAATAATACTATATCTGTTTTAAGTACTGTCTAAATGAGTAAGGTACTGCTTTAAGACATATTCAAGAAAACGGTTACCCAAGCAGCTGGATAGATTTTGGAAACTGTCAGACATTTCAAGTAGCACCCATTACCTTTCATCGGTGACTGAATACCCGGAGGTCTAACTTTCATCGATAGATTTACTCTGAATATACTCTGAATCGGGTAAAATTGTGGCCTTTTATTTATATCATACTGGACCGAAGCCATAGCAACACATGTCGTGCGGTATGAGAAAAAAAAGAACAGAGCTGAGTTGACAATATTTTCAAACAAAGATAAAAAGTAAACGTTGATAAAGGCGATTAGACCTCCAGGCAATGAGAGTAACAATTTCCTTGAATGTGTAAAAATAAAAGGATTGAAAACTCGAATTACACATAAATTTCTGTAAGCTGACATCTATACTACCTCTTGACAAGCATTTAAATAACAAGATATCCACAAAACGTAAAAGACAAGCGAGTCCCTTACCAGGTAGCCCCACGATGACCAGGAGGCTATAGTACACCTTAATGGCCACCAATAGTGCTTCTTCTTCATCCATGATAGTTCGACGACTCTTCCACAATCTACCTTAACAACTGCCTCCTAGCCTCTCACAATATTCAGTGGATAAGGTGTAACAAGTCGATCGGTGTAATGTGGAGAGCTGCCACCGCGCCGCGTGCCTGCGAAGCTGGTGTGTTACGCCGAAGGGCGGTTATACCGGCTATACTGATACAGAATTCAGTATGGCCTTTCGTTGTGCACTACAAGAGGGCTTATGTGGGTGAATCTACATGTTAGCTACACTTATGATGCTGACGTCAGATGATAATTAGATGACAAGCAATGAGTCACACGTACTTACACTAGAGTGTCCTGCTGTTGATTTCGAACTGGTTGGAAGAACAGATGCACTATGGGATATTTTATATCTTGAATGTTCGAATTCTTGGAAATCCAGTACGTCAACGTCGATAATTTTAAAGAAGAAAATGGAGAGAGTGTGAGTAGGGAACAAGAGAAGATACATATTATGTAGCATATAAAAAGAATCTTTATACATGGGTTGCCCCAACGTTCATGTGTGAGTCGTGTACAGTTGTATTTTCTGAAAAATACCTGTAAGTTCAGGTATCAAAACATGTCCTGACGCCGGAACACATGACCAAATACGTATTTGCCAGCTGAGATTGTCTGACGTTACGTCACTCTTTTGAGACCTGCTTGTGACGTCATGACGCACGGCTTTATTTCATTAATTGCGCCACCTAGGGATCTAATAATGAATGACAAGGCAAGGGAAATAAAGTTGACTGACATACTAACTTTTCTCAAGAATCTCAAGAAATAGGCTGTTTCATATCACA